ATATATTGTTATTAAATAAACCTAAATGAACTGCTTCTTGTAGAGTGGAACTTGTCTTTATAATTTGTTAAAGAAACTTCTCTCTTGAACACCGTTTCTTAAAGTAATTAGATAGCTGTGTTGCTATTACTTATAGTGTACTAAGAAGGCTACACTATCTGTAACAATAGGACTAGCAAAATCAGCTTCAAATAGTATATATAGGCATGCCTACAGTAAAAGCAAGGGATAGAACTATATATTATATAGTCCCATCCCCTGCTTTTGCTATACGTGTCCCTATATAGTCATATGAAGATTCTAGAATTACTAATAATTTAGCAAAATTAGCTTGCACATTATATTACAGAGCTAGCTATACAATTAAACAAATAAAATAAAATAGGACTTCTACAAAATTAAGAATAAAAGAAGTATAACTGAGCTATATAAATATAAGTAATATCCTTAGTAGTTCTAGTAAATTAAATTATATGAAGTTTAAATTTAATCTAGTATACAAAATAATTTATGAAGAAAAGAAATTAAACTTTAGTTTTTAAGAAAGTAGTATCTATGAAAAAAATATAAAAATATCAAGCACAAGTATCTTAAATCTGTTAGATAAAAAAGAGGCTAACAGATATAGAAAAAGTAATAATATGAGTATTTTTATACTTGAATAGCTAATAACTAATAGTAACAATAGACTTCTAATATGATAACAAGTAAGACAGATTAGAGATTACAATAGAAGAGGTTGTAAACTATACTAGTTCAAGTATATAGAAAAAAGAGTCTTAGATTGCAGTATAACAAGGTCTCTAAAGGAAAAATACTGTATAGAAAATTAAATTAATATGTAATAAGATATAATAGATATAAAATAATTGTAGACAAAAAGAAAAAAGAATAGATTATCTTTGAAAAAGAAAGAAGCTTTGAAATTAGTAAAGTTATAAAAAAAGAAAACAAGTATTTTGTAACTGAGTACTGGCAAATTAAAGCAAATGAGAATATAGAAAATATACTAGCTAGAAAGTATGAAAGCTATATATATAGAAGACATAATGATACAAGCTATATAATAAAACAAAAGCTGAAGATATAGCACTAAGTCATAAAAAAGGTAATATATAAAGAAAATATGCTATCAATTAAAATACCTTTGTTAGTCTATGCAGTAGACAAGAAGCTCTCATATAAAAAGAAAGAAGAATAGAAGAAAGAAGTAGAAATAAGAGTAGCTAGTATAGAAGAAGCAGTAATTCAAAGGGTAATTAGCAATAAGAAGATACAAATAAATTAATTAATATTGCAGAAAAGCTAAAAAGAAAAAAGGAGCTAGATATTTATATAGATAGATTATTAGTAATAGAGTATAAAGAAAATAGAGAGAAAAAAAGAATGAGTATAGGTTAGATTATAGCTAATAAAGATAGTAGTGTAAATAATATTAGTTTTAATAGTAGAATAGCTGACTAGTTTTTCTCAACTCGAGCTGAACTAGATACGATATGGATAGCTTTGCTAGTAACTTCTGCTAAAGCAAAGGTGAGACTATACTCTAATAGTAATATAGTAATAGAAAGGATATAAGATTTCTAAAGCCAAATAAACATAAGAAGCATGTTTAAAACCAGGAATTGCAGTTTAATTAATTAAATAATAGATTGTTATAGAACTAAAAATATCAAGTTAGAGCTAATTAAAGTTAAAGACTACAGCATAAATTACTGAAATGATAAAGCTAATGAGTTAGCAAAAAAAAGTCTCTTATTTAACCTAGTACTAGAAGTATAGAATATTATATAAAAGTAATACTAACTTAGAAAAATAAGCTAATAGATAGCCTTCTTAGATCTTTTATTAATATAATCACAACAACATTATATAAATGCAAATAGGCAAATCTAAATAATATTAAACTAATATTAGATCAAAAATTGAATATACAAAGTAATGAAGAACTAAACTAGAAGAATATATAGAGCTTGCTAAAGAAATTTCAGAGAAAGAGATATACTAATATTAAAAAAAGCAAAACTCTGATCTTCAGAATAAAATATCTTAATAAGTTACTACTAACTAGAGATTTCTGTTTTCAAAAAAACCTAAGCCTATATAAAAGTAAAACTTGTATAATATGCTTTGCAAAAGAAGAATCTTTAGAATATATTATAGAATACCAAATATATCAAGGAATTTGAAGAAAGATCTAAGATTTTATTATAGAAAAGCTAAGTATAAAGATTGATAACAGATAGAATATAGCTATTTTAGAGCAGTAGGGCAAAATTAGAAGTTCTGGTACACTTTTTTGGTACTCTGGATATCAAAGTAATTATATTACCCTTTTTACGTCTTTGTAAACCTATATTCTATAACAACTCTTTAGTACTTATATAAAAATCTGAGTACCAAAAATTATATAGCTAGAACTCACTATTTATATATTTTATAATCAAATCAGATAATGACAAAAAATTAATTCCATCATTACACCTGATATTATATATAATTCAAGGTACCAAAAATTAAGTATCTATTTTCCTTTTATAATACTTTTGATAATGTTTGCTAACATAATAGCTTCTAATATGGTTAGAATATCTACTACTTTTAGATCGAGTAGGTTTATCACAATCAGTATAAGGATAACGCCTAATAGCATTTTTATGAAGCCAACACCCTTTAGGATTTATACATGACTATCCACATATCTCTCTAGTATATAAAAGGAAATCGCATATATATTTACCTAACTGCATTTTTTATATATGCCTACTACATATTAAGTTTTAAATTGAATAAAAATATATTATAAGTAACAGATAAGGAATTTTGTATCAGCATGTATATACAATGAGTAATCAAACTCAAGATACAAAAGATATCCAAACCAAGCCCACCTATCAAGAAGTTGAGCAAGCTTTAATTAATGTAGTTAAAGCAGGCATCTATTATAAAAAGCCAAAAGAAGATAAGTTAATGCAAAGTTATAAAGAGCGAATTATAAAATTACGTCAAGCAGAAGATCCAGAAGAATATATATTAAAGTTAGCTATGACAATATTCTCCAATAAAGAAAAATATTATAAAATTAAAGATGACTATAAAGAATTTTATGGATGAGATCCAAAGATATTTACTTCTATTATAGAACTAAATAAGCTATATTACAAATTAGCCAAAGATCATTTCGTTAAAGAAACCCAGATTGATAAAGAAGCAGAAGATTTTCTTAATTTGTAAAAGACCAAGAACACCAACTTGAACTATTCTATGAACATCTTTTATATTATAAATTTTTTAACTTGTGAGCATCTATTAGGTGGCAATTCTAATACAGTCACACCTCCCTAAGTATATCCTGCCAGAACCATAATGAAAAAAAATCAGAAATAGATGAAATTCTTCAAAAAATTCACAGTTTAGAAATATAATATTGTTTAAGAACCTGTTTAGGTAGATATTCAACCTTCTTAACTACTATTAATTGTTCTTTCATGAATAATCTTTCAGAACTATCTCCATTTTCATCTATAAGCCAGTATAACACCAGTTGATTTTTTGTATTAATGATTCTTTAATATGATAAACCTTTAGAGACCAATTCATATCAGTTATGCGTTTTCTGCCAAATTCTAATTTTGCAGGTTTGAGTAAATATAAAACTGAATCTTTATAGATTAACCAAGGTTCATCAAATCCAATAGGTCTACAATATTTTACAGATGGATTAGCAATTATTTTTTCACCTTTTAAAGCTTTTTTTACAGCTTCATTAGGAGACATATAAATTAATCAAATAGAAGTATTATTATAAATATCATTATTAATATAAAGATCTTTAACCCAAGATTGACATCTCTCAGATAATGATAAATAAAAATCTATAGCATCTTGACGAATATAGGCATATTTCTCAAATTTTTAGTGATCATGTTCAGCTATTAATATACTACGTTTAGATTTAGCTTGTATAATTTTTACATAATGACTAAGTAATAAATCTCTATACTCACCTAGATATTCAGTACCTTTATCTACAATTAAAACTTTTAGTCATGTAAGATGATTATTAGAATCTTTATAAATTGCTTTAAGCATTTTAGCTAATGATACAGAAGACTTATTAGTTAAAGCACAACTTTTATGAAATCTAGTCACCACATCTTTTATAACACTCCTATGTTTGAAAATTTGATTACCAATTTTATCATGAGAAAGAAATGTAAGATCTGATTTATATACTTTATTTAAATTTCGTATGCTATTAAAAGATGCATATTGAATAAATCTTGGTTGAGGTTTATGAACTAAAAAAGTTATCTGTTCATTTAACCAGTTTTTTATATCTGCTAATAAAAAATTATAACCAGCATTTTTACAAGCAACATACATTTTTTTAGCTGTCTGATAATAACCTTCAGGCCTATAATAAATTTTTTGC